TCGTCGCATCGTGGCGTGATTACACTAATTGAATGGTCTGATACACGTCACCTTTTTTCTCTTTATTTGTATATGTTTGTTTTGTTTTTCCGTCTTCTAGTGCTTACTTTGTAATTGGCCTTTGAGTTCTAGAATAGGTACATAAATAAATACAGAACTGGACTGAGTATTCAAATAGATTATTTCCTCTTAAATTCACGTTTGTTTTTGTGGTTGCTCATAAACAGTTTAAGTTAGAAATAATTTTACTTAATTTTCACTGTATTCTTGGATCCAGATAAATTTGTATACTGGCAGTAACTGTTACGTACCAGTAAACGTTTAATTCTGCTGTAATATAAACTTCCCCTAAAATACCTCAGACGCATTGTGTCTCAGCACAGAAACTAAACAACGTATCCTAAAGACTCATTGTAATATCATGACTGTGTGTCTTCATATTGTGACGAATATGACCATTGCTAGAAAACGGTATAGTAAACACATATCCGAGGTCACGCAATCAACAGTGGGACCTCCGTTGCTGGGTAGCAGCTCGCTAGGCACGATTCGTAGCAACGGACGAAACAAATAATAAGAGGGTAATGCACCTTCTGCTGGAGCTGGTGATCTATATTCGGTTCGCCTGGAAGTTAGTTCAGTCCAGGAGAGTTCAGTTGCAAGGGGTTCTTCTTTCGTCATTCGTCACAGCGGAAGAAAGGACACTCGTGGTCCAGTAAGGAATGGAGCGAGACTTAGACAGTCACTGATTGTGAGCTGTTGTAATTAAGGAAATGCCAATAAATCCAACCCAGAACCCGATATTATTACTCACGCAAACCCCAAATACGTGACAATATGCTCATATCTGGTACGTAATCTCATCCAAATTGTAACTTGTTCTTCCATTTCATGAAGGCCGCGCCATAGCCCAAGCGGTTAGTCGCTGGCTTCCCACCGCGGCGGCCCGGGTTCGATCCCGGGTCTGGTCAAGTGGGATTCGTGGTGGACAAAGTGGCGCTGGGGCAGGTTTTCTCCGAGTACTTCGGTTTCCCCTACCAATCTTCATTCCACCAATTGCTCCACAATCACCCTCACCTATCATCTGGGGCTGGTACAATAGGCCAGAAGTGGTCGCACTACAAGGGACTTAGTCGCACCCCACTAGCAGTAAAAAAATACATTTAATGACATTTTCGCTTAGTTTGCTTTTTCAGGTATTAAAAAAAATTGATTGTTATCCCTACATATCAGTGGCGAATTCTGGTCTAGAATTTAGGTCATGCGGAAATGCAACCGCACATCTGGCAATACTAATAGCTTTATTCTCTCCTTGTTCCTCTTTTACACAGCGACGCATGCTCGAACGCACATTTTTGGGATACCTGATCGAGCGATGAATCTGCCACCTTCCATGGCATGACGCATATGGAGTTAAGCGCTATGACGTATAACCCATGTAATGCATTCAGTTGGATCCTAGCAAAAAGTTAGATACTTTATTGAAAACAAAATCGAAATAAGCATTTTCTTATATGGTGGCCAGTAGCGCATTCGTCGCCAGACCGCAGCATTCGCCACTGCTGCATATCCGTTTCTACGGAAGTGTGTGGGTGGGGCATGCGCTTGCTCGCCCCAGGCCGTTAGGTACTCCGACAGCAGAGGGTTTACCAAGACAGTCAATACGGACGGTAGATACAGCAGACAGCTACTTGAAATTCGATGTTTTTATGCATGCAGATACTTTGAGAGTAATGTAATGTGTTGTGCGCGTGATATGATCTACATCTGTTTTAAAATTAGTGCTCGGGTGTTAGTGTACAGTTTTGCAACCACAGCAAATGAATTAATTTTATGCGATAAAAGCGTTTCGTATTTGTAAAAGTGCTAAAAACGACTGTAAGGGGAATGGCAGAACTAAATATTTTAAATCGTAATAAAAGTGCTTATCGAGAGATGAAATATACTGAATAATCTTGCATGAATCGATGGACAGCAGATTTTTGGAGGCAGGTGCTCCCCCATGACACACAAACGTTTATAGTACCGGTAAATATGTATCGTTATCAAGATCTAATCTCGCCGGATACTTCTATTTCGTCGGGTAATGACACAGGAATTCCGACCTCTCCCTCTGTTTACGGTCGTGTACGGTCATGGTTACTCCAAGGCCAATGCAGTGCACCACCAGAGTTATACCACGGCCTGAGCATTCATAAGAAGGTGACTACCAATTTAATAATATTGTTAATTGCAAGATAATTGAAACAACAATAGGAAATATTAAGAAGGTCCGGGTGAACCAAATGGAACTGAAACTGAATGGGACACATCAGCTTCTGACCTATGCTGATGATGTAAATTTATTGGGAAATGTATTAAACACCATAAAGAAAAACATAGAAGTTGTAATTTACGCCAGAAAGGAGGTTTGTTTTGACGTAAAGATACAAAAAAAAAACTAAGTGTAAGCTGATGTCTTGTCACCAGAATACAGAACAAAGTCATAACGTAATGATAGCTAATAGGACCTTTGAAAATGTGTCACAGTTCAGATATTTTGGGAACGACTGTAATAAAACTTTGATTCAGGAAGAAATTAAAAGGAGATTGAATTCAGGTAATGGTTTGCTACCATTCAGTCCAGAAACTTTTGTCTTTTCGTCTGCTGTCTAAAAACCTGAAAATTAAAGTGTACAAACCTATAATTTTGCCTGTAGTTTTGTATGGAACTTGGTCTCTTACATTAAGAAAAGAACATAGACTGAGGGTGTTTGAGAACAGGGTGCTGAAGAGAATGTTTAGACCGAAGAGGGATGAAGCGACGGGAGGCTGGAGAAAACTGCATAACGAGGAGCTTCATAACTTGTACTCTTCGCGAAATGTAATTAGAATGGTCAAGACAAGGAAAATGAAATTGGCAGGGAGTATAGCATGCGTGGGAGAGAAGAGGAATGCGTACAGGGTTTTGGTGAGAAAGACAGAAGGAAATAAACCACTAGGAAGACTAGACGTAGATGGGAGGATAGTATTAATATGGATACACAGGGCAGCACAAAAACAGAATGAACACATACACACACCAAACATCCATGCTTTGTGTGGGATTCGAACCCACGATCCCGGCTTCCGAGCGAGCAGAGACAGTACACGTCTTAGACCGCTCGGCTACCGTGACAGTCCTGTATAAATCCACTCAGAGGCTTAAACTAACAAATTAGCCACCGTTCTCAAATGAGCAAAGTATAGGGTGTCCGGATGAAAGGTATTCAAAATAAAAAATATATATCTGGGAAACTAATTGTCATACACGTATCCGATTTATGTCATCGGAAAGAAAAACCGAAAGTTTTTTTCATGCCCAGTTTACGCGCATATGCCGCCACATTTTTGCCACAATGTTATGAATCACCTGGACAGAGAGACGGCTGGAATATGAATTGGAAGAGGTGGACCAATCGCTTGGCCTCCTAGGTCGCCAGATTTAACCCAAGTGAATTTTTTTCTTGTGGGGTTATGTGAAGAACTTTGTGTACCAGGTTAAGATCAACGACCTTCAACACCTGAAAGCCCGCATAAGAGACGCTGTAGCTACGGTAACACCAAACGTGCTTCAAGTATGGATATTTGTCGTGCCACCAAGGGAGTCCAAATTTAAATTTATTGAGAAAAAACTATGATATTTCCCTTTGTAATGGTGTAACCCATTAACGTTTTAAAGCCTAATGGTTACTATATGCACGACCTGGTTTAAGATACGAAACGGGATGGTGAATAGGCTATAATCATTTATTTATGATTCACTTAGCGATACTGTCAGCAACACAAGACTATATAACGTCAAATTGTAGGACGACCGGTGAACAACGAAGAAGTAAAAGACGTAGAGGGGAACGTCGTGGCCCAACTTATACTAGGCCTCGTCTCCCGAATTGTCTGGAGAGACTGAGGAAAACCATAAAACCTATTCATACCAGGTTTCCAGGACAACTTTAGTACGCCAGACCTCCTAAATTCAAAGTAGAAACGCTATCCACTCGAAGCCGATATGTGAAAACCTGTTATAAAGTACACTATGTTAAGATACAATTAAATTCAGCGTACTTTGGGACAACACAAGTCATTTCATGATGTTGTAATTTACATTAAAGTAATAAATTTAATGGACACGCATGCTATTTTGAATAAAACTTACATATAATAATTATATGTTTTCCCTACAACGGTTGAAAGTGCATGTCCATAACTAATCTGATAAAATCCAACAATCCATTTACACACGTGGGCTAAATTAGGAATATCATGCTGGACGATGGTGACATTAAAAGAGGTGTAAACTAAGTAACGCTCAAACACGCAACTGTTACGTTACATTGAAGTACAGCATTTTGTATTTCAAAAGTTAAACATTAATTCGGATAACGACGGTGTGACCACGTTCAATTAGAAAAAAAAAACGGTCATTTCTGGGCACATCACTGGTTTCATTTGCAATTCCAACCACTAAGCTTAACCCCCAAAAATAAATTATGAAAGCATAAATTGTTTCTTAAAAGTTCATTTGTCGACACTTTCGCTTATACCGAATGTTCAAAAACTTGTTGCTAAGGACTCCATCTCGCGATTCCTTAATGGGGACAGCGGCGAAAAGGTGCTTCGATAAAATTTCGACCGATGAATAACCCTGGCAGAAAACGAGATTAAACTGGAATGCGATTTCGAAACACAGTATGTTCCCCATAATCGAGTTTTCCACCAAAATTATGCGTCAGCCGAACATTTATCAAGCAATAGTTTCACTTTAATATTCATGAAGGAATTCAAACCGTGCTGTCAGTCACACTTAACTTTAATCGCATTTTCAGCTAATATTAATCGTCGGGGGAAGAAGAGCACCTTGTGTTCCTTGCATTTATCAAAGATTCGTGTGGTGGTTCCCGAATGTGTAAACATCCAGGCACCTGTATACACAGTGTGTCCAGGTTCTGTTAGGACTGTGTTCATTAAAAATACAAGACGTGAATTATTTTCAAAATGTCACTCTTTTTATTCAAAATAGTCTCCTTCTGAATCAATACATAGCTGGAATCGATTGAAAAGTTTTCGAAAACAGTCACTGTAGTCCTTTTGTGGAATCGCATTTAAAAGTGCTGTAGATTCCCTTTGGATGTCCTGGATGGTGTCGTGACGGTCTCCTTTCATCGCCAACTTAACTTTTGGGAACAACCAGAAATCTGCTGGAGCCAAATCTGGCGAATACGGAGGATGAACAAGGGCTGTGATCCCTTTTCTGGCCAAAAAAATCGCGCACGATCTTCGATTTGTGGGATGGGGCATTGTCGTGGAGGAGCGACCAGGAACCTTGCTCTCGATATTCAGGTCGAATTCGAAGAATTCTCGCCCACAAACGATTGAGGACTCCGAGATAATAATCAGAAATCACTGTTTGACCTCCTGGCAGAAATTCCTTGTGAATAATTCCTTTGGAATCGAGGAAAACGATTAGCAGTGTCTTTACTCGACTCTTTTGCATGCGCACTTTCTTTGGTTTCAGCTTCTTTGGGCTCAACCACGCTGCACTCTGCCGCTTTCTGAGAGGTTCATATTGAAAACACCATGTCTCGTCACCAGTAACAATCGATTTTGTAAATTCTGTATCACTTTGGGCCGACCGTAACATGTCTTTACAGTGTTGCACTCTGGCGTGTTTTTCATCGCTTGACAGCTCGTGCGGTACAAACCGCGCATAGACCTTCCGTTTGCCCAAATCCTCGGTCAAAATTTGATGCACAGTACTTTTTGGTATTCCCAAAAGCCTCTCGATAAGTCATGCAGAAACACATCTGTCTGATACAGGAATTTCGATCACTTTTTTTTTTCACATTTTCTTCAGTGCGACTTGTTCTCGGCTGTGATGCACGTGGAGCGTCTTCAATGTCCTCCCTGCCGTCACGAAATACAGCATGCCATCGAAAAATGTTCGAGCGACTCAATCAGTACCGTACACACTTTTCATCATTTCGTACGCTTCTCCGGCTGTTCTGCCTAACTTCAAACAAAATTTGATGTTGGCTCTGTTCAACCGCCATTTTCCGATTCGCGTCTGAACAGTACTGTTACGTTCAAGGTCAGAACACATAATGCAACGATGATTGCTCTTTGAAATTATAGACAGCCACAGGTGAAACTTCAATAATCTTAACGCCACAAATCGCCAACAGATGGCATTGCAGGGCAAAATTAAGAAAAAAAAAAAAAGAGTCCTATCGGATCCTGGACACACCGTGTACAGTCATACGTGATTATGATTGCGAATGATAACTAATGCGTAAAGAAAAACACTTGTAACTTACTTTAAGGCAATATCCTAGCATTTGCCTATAAGGCTTAGGTAAAACCATGAAAATTTTCAGCAAGCTTCTTAGAAACTTCCCACATATGGATCAGAAGCACTAACAAGCCGATCACTGTGGCCGCGCGGTCTAAGGCACGAAACGTCTTCGGCCGCTTACGCACTGTTGCCTTTATTCGGTCTCTAGCTCTATACCAGTATGTTTTGTGAGAGGTTTTACATTTATAGCTAAAGTAAACGAATTCCACGAAAAACGCCTTGATGTTGCCAATCAGCAACATCGGCAGCAACCCGGTGACAATAACGAAAAGGATGGAAGAGATATGTCATATATTACGGAATATCAAGCTTCATAATATTTGTACTTTCGCTAAAAATTGTATTTCGAATATACATCATGGCTGTTTAATATTCACACTCAGTTTAAAATTACATAGATATGTTGCACATTCTTTAATAGCATCTTTATTTACAAGTCTAGTTTGTTTGTTATATTTATGAAAATGAAAATCGATACTAACTTTTCTATCACCGGAAGTTCAGCAACACCATCACATTATCCATCCCTCTTCTAAAGATCACTATGAAGATATTACTGATCATAATTATTATGTAAATCGGTAAGATGGGGGGGGGGACTAGGAGCATAAGCGAGGACAGATGCGTACGCTTTAACCGGAACGCCTGGGGACCTAGATGTAGATGGGAAACATCAGAGGGGATCTTAAAGAAACATGATGTGAGAGTTTGAACTAAATTAATTTGGTTTAGGATAGGATCCAATGGAGGGGCTCTTTGGAACAGGACCATGAAATTCCAGGTTTCATACAGGGCGGAGAATTTCTTGACAGATTGCAACTATCAAGAAGTA